ACACAAGATCGAAGGTCATAGGCTCGATCCCGTCGAGATTATGAATGCAAACTGCTGAGGAAGTTACAGCCTGATTTTTAATGGCTATGTGATAAACATTATTCTCTAGTGCAATTTATGATGAAGAAAATAATTGTTTTTGAACTTTGAATCCATAATGCAGATATTAATTATGCCTGTTACACCTCATGGAGGAGCATAGGACGCTCATCAACATTCTCCATCCAACTTTGCCCTGAGCGATTCTTTCCAGGTTCATCCAGTTGCTATCCAAACTTTTCATGTCTGCTTCTAATTCCCGAAGCAGTGTGTTATTCGGCCTTCCTCTTTCCCGTTTCCCTTCACGATTCCAAGTTCGCTCTTGCCTCGTGATGCAGTTTGATGATTTCCGTATTATATGCCATATACACTTCCAGCGTCTTTTCCTAATCTCCTTTTCATATGGAACCTGATTTGTTATCTCACACAGTAAGCTGCTGCCGATGATATCCGGTCGACGGACATTAAGCATCTTGCGTAGACAACTGTTTACAAATACTAGTACCGTCTTGTTGATGGTTGTGGTAGTTCTCCAAGTTTCAGATCCATACAGTCGAACTGAGCTGACGTTCGTATTGAAGATTCTCAATTTGATGTTAGCTTGCAGATAATTGTTCTGAGTTCCATATGCTATTCAACTGTGGGAATGATGTCATTGCATTTACATCCGCATCACACGTTGCTTGTTCATCGATTATACTGATCAGATGGGTACGTGAACGTTTCAACCTCTCCCACAGTTCCTCCATCAAGTGTGATTGGTTTGGTATTCTCCGTGTTGGATTCGAGGATCTTGCTTTTTCTATTGTGTATGTTGAGGTATACTGCTGTAGATGCTGCTGCTACACCAGCTATACTCACGTACATTTATTGTCATGTGTGAGATGGAATAGCTGAGTCATCTGTGAAGTCCAAATCGTCTAGTTGCATCCAACCTGTCTATTGTAGTCTGTGCTTTCCGTCAGATGTTGAGGTCCTCATAATCCAGTCAACCACCAGAAGAAAGAGGAAGGATGAGATTCAGCAGCCTTGTGTGACTCCGATCACCACTTGAGATGCATCTGTGAAATGGCCACTATGCACCAAATCGCACTGTAGTCCATCGCAAGAATTCCGGATGACGGTGACGATCTTCTCAGGTATACCATAGTGTCGAAGGGGTTTCCATAATGTTCTCCTATCCATGCTGTCAAACACCTTCTCATGGCCAATGAAGCTGATGTATGATGAAGAATTCCATTCAATCGGCTGCTCAACGATGATCCGTAGTGTCACTGTTTGATTTATGCATGGCCGATCCTTACGGAGTCCAGCCTGTTGATCTTGAAGTTGAGTGTCTACTGGGTCTTTCAACCGGTTCAGCAACACTCTGTTGAAAACTTTTCCCGATACTGACAATAGTGTGATGTCTCTATAGTTCACACATTTGTTCAGATCTCCTTTTCGGTATCTTATTTCCAGTATGTCAGTGGTACTTGTTCTTCCGCCCGAATCTACCTGAATAGAATGTGGAGCATGTTTGCAGTTAATTATATATCTGACTTCATTATCTCAGGTCGTATGTTGTTTGTTCCTGCTGTTTTCCCACTCTTGATTTGCGTAATGTACATCCTGATTTCCTCGATCGTTGATGGAGTGACATCTATGGGGAGATTTGTAGTTGCTGCTTCGATGTCTGGTGGTTCTAGTTGTGATAGTCTATTCAAGAGTTCTTCAAAATGTTCTACTTACCTGTTCTGCTGTTCTTAAATCTCACTGAGTGGTTTACCCTCTTTGTCCCTGGACCACCTCTCTGGCTTACGATATTTCTCTTCTAGTTTCTTTTTTGTTTCATAAATTTGTCTCATATTTCGTTTTCTAACAGCTCTTTCCACTTTCATTGCTAGCTCTTCCACGTATTTCTACTTGTCGGCTTCAATGCTTTTCTTCCCTTGCCTGTTTGCTTCAGTGTATTCAGCCCGTGTCTCGACTTTCTCTGTTCTTGTTCCACTGTCGTCTTCTTGTTCTTCCTTTCTTGAATCTTGTCCAGAGTTTCCGTAAATATCCATTCCATATAATGATGCTTGTTGCGGCCCAGCAACTCCTGACACATTGAAGTTAATGCTTCTCTGATCCCTTTCCAGTTGTCCTCCATAGTGTTTTCTTCCTCCAGTAGATTCTTTAAGGCTTGGAACCTGCTGTTGAGAGTTATCTTGAATTGCTTGAGTTCGTCAGTATCTCATAGGAAGGCTGTACTGAATAGTTGTACTGCTGTTTATCCAGTTGTCCAGTGCTTCTTTGGCTTCAGTTTCATCTTGTACACAACGAGGTGGTGATCTGAATCTATGTCAGCTACTCCACCTCCTCGTTATCACACCTTCTACTGTCCTTCGGCATTTTTTATTGTCACAAATATGATCGATCTGGTTTTGTGTAGTGTGATCCGGTGAGACACGTGTTGCCATGTGTATGTGTTTGTGTGTGAATATTGTGCCACCTATAACCATTTTGTTGAATACACATACATTTGCAAATCTCTCACTATTATCGTGCCCTTCCCCAGTCAATCCATATCATCACATGATATCTTCATATCAATTATTGTCCATTTCAACTTCGAAGTTTAGATCTCCCATCAAGATGGTCAGACCCCTTGCTGAATACTTCACCATGATCGATTGCCGTTTCTCGTAGAGCTCGTATTTATCGTCGTCATTGCTATCATTGGTGTGTGCATAACATTGGATAACATTCATTTTAATTACATTCTTCTTCGTTTTGAAGAATGCTTTGATGATCCTAGATACGTGAGATTCCCATTCTATGAGTGCATTACGTGCATCTTTGGATAGCATCAGAGCAACACTCTGAATGTGTGGAGCACTTTCTTCTTCGTGACCAGAGTAGAGCAGCCACATTGTCCAAAAGTTCCGCGTACTTAAATTGATTTTTACTCTAATTGTTAGAAGGGGCACCATCCTCGTGACTTCCGAATCATCCCAACTTTCATTATGAGGCGCCATAATTCTTCCTCCAACTTGGAGGGTAGAGTTTAAATAGTTTAATTTGTTTATTCTGGTTGGTGTTTTCTTAGCAAGATTTTTTCTAGGTGATGGAGATGCTGACCCTACGCACAACCCTCCTGCTTTACTCGGGATTAGGACTGACAGTTGTATTAGAATTTTTACAGGTGTAGTTATAATACATATGAAATAATTGAAATAACTCATTGGGATTGAATTGTTTATTTTGTTAAACATGTTTATGCTACTAATGAGTAGTTAAAAAATGCAAACGAAATCTCCGAAACATAAAGCCTAGCTGCTTTAGTGAAGCTTATGAACATTTTCAAGTTGTTAATGTCAATCGAATTTTGGATTTTTTTTACAAAGACTACTGCAGATGAATTCTTCAGCTTAGCTAATAGTTTTTGTTCACTTTCGGTTTTTATTGATGTCTTCTGAAGGCAGGTCTTATCAAGAATTGGGATTAGCAACCAAGACGCACTAAAAATATGCTTCTTTACAAATAAGCACATCTTAATAAATAACTAGACGCAAAGATGGGGCAATTATTAAACATAAGTATGTTTCGAATGGTAAACCAAAATGAAATTCAACATTATGTGAAAAGACATATTGTTTGAACCCCACTTCTACAGAACATCATGCTAATTATATTATGTAAAATACAAGAGGAGTCTGGATGTATCTGATGAAACAATAAAACCAGTAATTTAGATTGTCTTATGGTTTTCATAATTCAGATGATAGTTCATCCTCACTAATAAGTAAGTCCTTGCCACAGTTCTAGAACATCAATAACCCTTATCTTTTAAAATTATTGTCTCTAATGATTCTAAATCTTCAGTGATTATGAACTAACGTCAGTGTTTATATTAAAATTTCTGATTTCACTGATCAACACTCCTTGAGATAACTGAAATGAACATCAACCATCTAATCAGTATTTAACTTAGAGATTCTCTGGACTTTTGCTGGGCGTTACAAGCTGTCATTTTTGTACCCGTTGCAAGATCGATATAAAATATAGCAGCACAAACTAACATTATTCCCCTTGAGTAAGAACTAGATTTCTTCACTTTTTAACCAGATACGGGAATCTTTTCTGCGATTTAGAGGTGACGTGCCTTGGGACAATTAAAATTTCTTGTAAAACCGTTCAATGGGACTGAAAAGTTGGTAAACTAACAGACACTGATCGATATGATTCATCACATTTACCAAGAAATTTAAATTAATAACTAATATAAAATATTTTAGAGGTGACCCATAAACAGAATTATACCCACAACCACAATCGTTCAACTGATAAAGCCTGTTGACTTATTTAACATTTTTAAGCATTGAAAATTTCACAGTATCCCTAGGTGTACGGATTTCTGGAAATCCCGATCATCAAGTTTAAGTTATTGACAATGTTCACAAATTAATTAAATATGAGGAAATAGGACCTTTGGGAGTGTTAACTAACTGGGATTTCATTTTCACTGTATGAAAGACACTGTAATAATTCTTAAAGAACAAGAGTGAAGTGCAGAACATATTGAGGAGAAAATATGTTTTTGTGATTTCACTATTATTCACAAAGATGGTTCTATGGAGATTATAGGTAATTTGAAAATAACTTTTACTAGGAACTCACGTTAGTCGGAGAACTGTCTACAAAACCAGGGGATACTAAACACACAACATGGACTACTTGAGGACTCTCAAAAAGTGTGCTGTCAAGACCACAGAGCATTAAGCTAATAAATAACACGTCTGGTGGAGAACGAGACATCTGTCGACTACTGAGTCATGATTCGATCATTTAACATTTTAACTTAAATCAATCTGTGATATAGCCAAGTACTCATACAATGTCACCTTTATTACTGTAGTTCTTCTGTTTTGGCTGGCTTTATACATTATGACGTCTAGCCAAAAAGTCTATTTTGAACAAAACTGTTTTATACACCACTGAAATCATGATATTTGAAATTAATTTGTGGAAAAAACATGTGACAAGAGTGAATTTTGTAAGCCTTTTAATTACTTCTAATCTCACTGTTCAGTAAAATTCTAAAGACTAACTTATGCTCAAACGTCATAATAGTTGAGAATCGAACATACGTCCAAATCCCAATATATAATAAGACAAATTAATAATGATAGAATACCGACGAATCGGGTTTAAATACAACTACCGACTTTCAGTATAAAATGTGTCTGTTAGTATGAAGAAAGGTTGTCATAATAAAAAAATACAATCAGTTGACAACAAAATGAAAACTAACTCATTTATATTCACTAATGATTGTTCTTTTATGAAATACAAATAGTACAAGGAAGTAAAACAAAAACAAGGAATGAAAATGCATAATCATTTGTTTTACAATTACAATTCAAGATATAAATCGCCTATTGAATTGTATACACAATAAGAGAAAATGCAAATAACTACTTAATGTATTACTGAAATAATGATATGGTATTTATGTTTATATGTTAATGTGTTTATGTATCATTTAGACATGTTATTCATTAATGATAAGAAATTTACAAATCTTATAAGCTCAAAATGAATGATTTGAGTAAAAACTAGATGAATTCATGAATGAAATTTCATCAATCTAATCTATTCTTAAATGAAGAATATTTGAGCGAACAATTTTTTTCAATAACTTCATCATCAGGCTTTACAGTTATATAAATCCATAATTATGATATTTTACAAAAGACAAAAATAAGGCATGTATTAATGAATTTGACAGTGTTTACCTTGGCCCACAACTAGATCACCGGATACCTAAACTGAATATTATAAACATCTTACCCTCTCTTTTTTTTAATTACCTCTATCTTAATCTTCAAATCCATCATCCTCAATTCGTTTATCGTAATTACCTTAATAACCCTCCCACTTATTACATATTATATTCACACCAACAATATTATTATTGTTGTCCCAATTGACAAGATTAAATTCTCCTATTATGCATTTTATTCACACAATATTTTTGCATTTTCATTTTTGCTATAACACTATTCTATTTATTGTGACTGGACACTTTACTCCAAATCATTCTCACCTTTATTGAATGTCGTAAAAGATGTTAACATTCACCTTTTTTAACATATCATTTTGCCAAATTCATTAATACATGCCTTATTCTTGGCCTTTGTAAAATATCATAATTATGGACTTATAACTGTATAGAGGCTGATGATGAAGTTATTGAATACAATTTTTCATTCAACTATTCTTCATTTATGAATATATTCTATGAGGATTATTAAACTGCTCATCTTTTCTAATCAATACATGAAATAAATATTAATAATTATTCTTTTATTAATTCATTAATTGTTTTAATTGAATTTTGAATTGATTTCAATGCACCATTTAAACGTTGTAATAATGGACCAGGTATAGGAATCATCTTATGAGATGATATAATTTCATATTCATTTGTAAGAAATTTTGCTATTTCTTTAGTAATTATTATTAAACCTTTTAATGATTCACAAAGTTTATCAGTCATATATTCTAATTTTCTTAATATCACTGTATTTGTATCATGATCATCATTGATATTATGGATAGATGATAATGATTTAAATTCATTACAAATAGACATAATATAACGTATTAATTGACTACATGATTCCATTACTAATTTAGTTTGTTCTATTATAAATTGTATAAAAAAATTATTATTTTTTAAACTTTTAAAATATAATATTGTATCATTTTGAAATTGTATTAAATAATTTAAATAATTATCAATAATATTTAATGAATTTAAACAAAATTGTGATAGTTTTTGAAAATTTAAATTTCCCACTAAATTTTTTTGATTTAATTTAGTTAAATGATCAATGAATTCATATGATTTTGATAAATATTTTGGTTCATTATTTGACACTTGTAATGGTGAATTTAAAGATAATGTATGAAATGAAGGAATTGATCTACTTAATTTATTAAACATATTTGTTTGTTGTTTTATTAAAGAAAAATGCTCTTGATTTGATTCAATAGATTTATTAATTAAATTATTAAATAATAGTTTAGAATTTATTAAAATGGTTGTATAAAATAAATTGATTTCAGTAAGTAATTGTTGAATTGTTTGTTCAAGTAAAGTTTTACTGTTTTCACTATTATTATTATCATTACTATTAATATTATTACTATTATTACTATTATTATTGTTGTTAGTCAAATGGGTGTTATTAATCGACTGTTTATTATATTTTTCATATTGATTGTTTAAGTCTATAATATTAATATTTTTTGATAATTTAATAAATAATTCAGCTAAATTTTCCATATTATAACGATATATAATAAATTTTTGTATTAAATTATTATTTATTATTGTTGTTTGTTTAGAAAGACCAATCATTACTGTACATAATTGACTAATAATTATAAATTCATTATTTAATTGTGTAATTAATGAAGTTATTAAATGTGTTGAATGTATTGTATCATGTTGATGTAATAGCTTTATTAAACGTAAACATTTATCATGTATACGTTCTTGTATTGGTAACCAATAATCTGTAAATTCTTTCATTGTTCTAAACATATTTGGTGTTAATTCTAATGATAATTTAAATTGTTTATCATTATTAATTTCTTTAAATGAAGGAACAATATTTTCCGGAAATTTTTTATCATTTAAATTATCTACTGAATTTATTATATTATCAGTAGATTTAGATTGTGTATTTAAAGAAAACAAGAGCTCATTGTTCAATTGTTTGGAGGGATGAATAGTATCATGTAAATTATTTAATGTTGTTTCATTTTTATATGAATTTGTACTAGTTAATTTATACTGAATTGAATTATTTGTATCACGAAATTCTTCTGGTATACTTGGTGGTAAATCCTAAAATTCACATATAAACATTAGAAATAAATATAATTAGAAAAGATAAACAAAATATACAAATACTGAGTACTATTGCATTATTCGATAAATAAATAACAGTCGTGCTACAAAACAAATTGTAATGTTCATGAATTTAGATTTTTGTAAAGATATATGAAATCATAGGAAAACTTGGTCAAAGTGATAGATAGTTAAAGTAATTTGATTGGTCATATAACTGCGTCACAAGGCAAGCCTTCACATAGAATCTTCAAGATCAAAGGAAAAGAAGAAAACCAAAAAACATATTACGCTAAGAAATGGAGAAAAACATGAAACAAATGAACAACAATTGGATAGAATTGGAAAGGAAGGCCTAGGACAGAGTGAGTTGGGGAATGTTGGTCGACGGCTTATGCTACATTGGGATTAACAGGTATAAGTAAGTAAGTAAGTTTGACCATATATGTAATCACTGACTAAGAATAACATTTATTGTTATGGTAAACAAAATGTGACACTAAATAAACTTGTTGACTGACACCTCCAAACACCATATCAAATTATGTTAAGTAACGATGTTAAACGCTAGTAATTGTCAAACAATGAAATATTTGAACTAAGTGAATTAAATTCGTCCAATGCTTGACCGAAACAATTCACCATAACATGAAATGATCCAATCGATATTTACAACACCAATACTCTTTAACTAGTTCCATCAGAAAGTAACTGTAAATATTTAAAAGTTTACATACATCAACTTGATTTATAGCTAAAAGGAAACAAACCCTATAAACTAAGTATCTTTCTCAAATTAGTCCCCAAAAAAAGACAAAGAATATTACATAACTGTTCTTTTATTAAGCTCAACTACCATTAATTTTATGATGAATATTTTCATTGAATTGATTAAGTTTATTAAGAAAAAAAACATATTTTAAATGAAAACAGAACATCTAGTAAATATCATAGGATATTTCAATACTCATGAAACTGTTTAATTATAACAAACATTATTTAATCATATAGAAACAAACAAATTCTATGATAAAATAATATTTATAATATTAGTTGAACAGTTTCGTTTGAATGAATCAGTTACATGTTTGTTTGTTTGTTTATCTTTTGACTGGTCTAACGAATACAAAAGTTGACTAGTTTGACAGTGTTAATCAAATGTATATATATATATATATATATAAACACAATCATTTGGAATAAATGTCATTTTAATCAAACCATGCAATTTCAATGATTTACCATTTATAATTAATTGTCATAATTCAATTCATCTTGAAAACGAATGAATATAATATTTATGATCTATTGAAAATTAAATTTAGTATAAATGTCATAGTTCATGATTTAAAAAAAATCCCTAAATAAACTCCTAGTAACAATCGGTTGCATTAAATGAAAAAAGACAAACAAAACAATTGATAGGTAAGCATTTTTTTATCAGCACAATGAAAGTTAATTTCAGTTAACTAGTTTATGTATAACAAGTATTTTTATGCGATACAAAATGCCCAGGATAATATAAAACCTTGAAAAAGTAATCAGTTAGAATATGATAGTAAACATTTATTGTTTGAATGAATGAATATTCTATTAGATTCAGTCAGTTAGTCAGTCAGTAGCAACGTAGAACTTCGTACGTACATACATTAGTTCGAGTTGCCACATAACATTAGAACAGAGATGCAGTTGTCGATTCAAATCCCGTAGTGGTAATGGTAATAAGAGTATAAGCAGTAATCGGAAAGATTAGGGTTTGAAGATGTTATTTAAAGAGTATAATCCAGTGAAATAAGTTTGGAAAGAGAAAAAAAGAGACAAGGAGAATTCAGGAGATTAGAATCTGGGAGAACACAAAGAGTGTATGCACCTGCGCCATTACAAACGATTTTGATCCATGTCATTCAGGGTCTTTAACCAAGCGGAGTTATTCTATTAGATTACTTTTTGTAGACTTGTATTTTAGTTTGAAGTCTTTACGTTAGTCCACATTACGTCATCAGTAAAACTCTATAGTAAAGAAAGTAAATTTAATTTGCTGTTTTTTTGTAAATGATAAGGTTACTTATATCCTACAAATTCAACCACGATATGAAACAGAATGATTACTCAAGTAGTGAAGGGTTAAATTATCCTATTTTTTCCTTCAACCTTTATTTCTGATGATTTATAATTTAAAGAAACAGCCTAACACAAACAAAATTTGCTTTAATAAATTTATAGTTTTCTATGTTGATGGATGTGATAGCTTATGGTACCAGAGATTCCTATTGTTATATGAAACAAATTTTATCTATATTTACACATGGCCTTATCTAGTGTAAGCTACTGATTAATGCCTAATGTATGAATAATATGCGAGGGATGTTTACACTAGTGGTCATGTGGGCAGTAAAAACATAAGATAATTAGAACATTTCATTCCAAGCATTTTGTAACTAAATATTTATACTACTGATGTTTCATGAATGATTAACTTCGAAAAATGTACAGACATTGTATTCTAGCTTTAGTGACGACAGCGCACTCGACTATATTCATCTAAGTTGAATAGTGGTATACGTGATAATATCAAACCAAGCACAGAATAGGAGGTCAGTTAAATTTACCGAGAAGATCAACGGCTAGAGATTTAATAAAACCCAGTGACAACTAATTTTACCTGTTATATTCAATAGATTTGTCAGTTTCCAAAGTATGGAAGCGAACAAATCTGTATGTTCATCAAATGAACAACATATAATAAGTTTTTATCATCTTACAAGATACAAATTCATCAGTAGTCTATTTTTATACCTGACCCATGATTTGAATCTATATTTATGGAGTTGACTATCTGGACCCATGTAAAATAACTGTTTGAAGATTACTCACAATATCCAGTATATTGAACCTATGCAACTCAAGTAAACAGACAGCAAATGACTTGGCAAAATTTTGTTTATGCCTGGTAAAATAATACACGTGAAATACAAGACAAAATAAATTGTAGTAAATAAATAGATAAATTGTTATTCACGCATTGTGTGGCGTGTAACGGTACTTAAGAATCATTTAGCGCTTTTGAAACCAATCAATTTTCTGTCTACTATGACAAATATTTCCCCTGACAACTTCGATCTTTCACTACGTGTTAAACACATTGACTTTCTTGGTAATTGTGAGCATATTTCTATGTTAACTTTGTTTTTGTATAGATTGTTATCAGTCAAAAGAGAACAATTCAATAAATTTGGAGCGGCGAACAAACTGAACAATATTTATCGGACTTATTTAGATGGAATTTCGAAGATGTTAGTTTGAGCCTATTTTTATTTTACGCAATTGTATAATTTCAACTAACCAGAATTTCTGGGTAAACGTTTGAAACAACACGTTTATATGAGCATACATTGCTAAATGAATAACATAGATAGTTCTGAACGTCAGTACAAGTAACCATTACTTCAATGGAAAAATAAATTACGAAACTATTCTCTTCAACGATCATTTGCAGTTTAATTTTCCTGCATTTACACTTTAATTAATCACAGAATAAAAAGAATAATCAGTATAAACATTTTAAAAGATAAATCCTTTATTAGAAACTAAAAGTATTAAATTTTCTTTAAACTAGATGAATTTCTGTCGTATTTCTGGTTAATAAAATAAAACGTTTGAAGAGAAGGTTGAATATTTTACAATGCATCTTAACACAAAAGTAGTTATGTAATAAAACAAAACAAATAACCCATATTTACTTGTTTTTATCATTTTACATTTTAAATGGTTTCAGTTCTTTGGAGAGGAAAAAAACCCAGCTTTCCTTTCTAACTACTCATACTTACTTATATCACCAGTTTAACTAGTTGAATAGATGTAATGGTGTAGTGTGTACTACTGATGTCGACAGATATAAGTAGTATGTATCATCAATCGAAAGTGAAGGTTAAGAAGATCAAAGAAAAGAGAACGAGAATATAGAATGACTGGTGTGTAAACGAAAGAATAACGAAGTCTTAAACGATTGATTGAAGAATTTACTGTATGGTTTTCAGATTTTACTAAGATGTTCGGTAATTTTGTATTCAAATACATTCGATTGTCCCCACTTGTGTTCTCGTTCACTACAATGGTAGTAATTTATTAAATAACTGATTTGATTGAGACTGACAATAATTAACTTTCTTTTTCGTATGAGTATTAATTAACTAATGAAGTGTTTATGAATAAATTATATTGCAAATGAAATCCTTGAATGTGTATGCTAACTACTCAGCTTCATTAGGCATAAGTCGATCTCAGGAGGAATTTTAAAATAACCTGAACTTTAGTAACTAAGATGTATAATATATTTGGCATTGGATAGTTGAACATAATGGACCGGGATAACTTAATATGGATTTCGTTGCTATTGAATGATTCAGTTTTTACCACCATTGACTTGTGATTTAGAAGTGGATTCACGTAATTTCATACAGGTACCTTGGTTACTATGTTTAACCTTCATTCAAGTCCACCACATAGACAATAGCATGTAGAAGTCTTATTGGTTTTTTGATTGGATATCCAAGCCAAGACACAATGTGAAAAACAAATAATCAATATGGGGGGATTTGTGAAGACTGTAGGATTTTCAGTTTTAAAACACAATTTGGTCTTAACTAAACCATCACTAAAAACGCTGAAGCACTGGGGTGGTGCATTTTTGTGTTCTATTATGGGACTCGTCAGAAATATATATCCATAACTTCCCATGCGGGGACCAAATCAAGCGCGAACGCTTAACCTCTAAACAATTGAGCCGGCATTCAACGGCCGTTCAGTGATTCTAGGTTTTCAATGATGGTTTAGGTAAAATCAGTTCATGATTTCAAGGTTAAAAAATTCGAACTTGGGAGTAGTCAAAATTTCATTCCATAAGGGTCAAACAAGAGAAGTACAAAGTTGCAACTGATGCCTTCAGGCATTTCATTTGCTAAGCTTTGCATTTATAAAAGAAAAAAATGTGAAAATAGTATCGAGTCAGTATGTAAAATACACTTGATAAACACGATGAACTTGTTGAATTTTTATTTTCTTGCAAATATCGAGTCTTTCCATAACTGTTAACCAATTTCGCTTATCATAACCTAATTATGGAAATGCAAATACAACTGGTAAAATTGGACAGAACTCAATCCCTGGATTCCACTACTAGCCATATTTTAGATGTACCAAAACTTGTAATATAACACTATATCAATGTAGTCTGTTCAGGATGTACCTATAGTAACAGAGACTGGTCAATCGCATTTCTGAATATCAATAAATAAAAATAAAAAACCCTTACTAATAACTTCATACCCGTTGAACAAATTAGTAGCTACCTGAACTCAGCGGCTCAGTGGTTAACGAGTTGGGCATTCGGGGAGAAAGGTTCTACGTCCGAGTGTTGGTGTGAATATCAACACAGATTCAGGAACTTCCAGTTGATGAGTCGCAGACAGAATTAAATTGGTGTTCTAGATTCCACGCTTAGCCACATACCAAATATACTAAATGGCTACAATGATTCTTAAAAATATGGTTTTTTCACAGAATTCAAATTATTGTTGTTTGTTAGTAAAATTTTCATTGTCCAGAGGACGAAACAATATCTACTTTTATTTGCAAATAGAATTATTGATTTAACCTACTTCATAATCTTCAGATGAATTTTCTCGATTCACTCTCTGATCAACTATTCCATCATTTATTGAATGTATACTGAATGAAGCATCACTTGACTGATTAGAGAAATTTCCACTATCTGTCAAACCAACAGAACTAGGATACTTTGTATAATAATCTACATTTTCATATAATGAACATGAGTTTTGATTCATGGAAAGATGATTTTCTTCAAGTGGATTAAATTGTGTAGACTTTTTTGTGCATACAATGCTATTTTTACTATTTAAATTACTGTCATTGTTGTTGTCATTCGGTATGCACCATCCTGTTGGATCATCATAGATATCAGAATTATTTTGTTCTTTATTATTCTAAATGAAGGAATAAAGAAATCGCAAGTGAACGAATAAATACAAAGTACCTTATATTCAATAAATTAATCAATAATTTAAAGTAATCATTCAACATTTATCAGAATGTGGGTTTGTTGAGTTAAAAGTAGTTTCTAATAGTTGAATTTATGGGTCCATCTAAGCTATACCGCCTTTGAAAATCTGGAATCGCTGGATGATCGTTTCGTTCCAGTATGGGACTCCTTAGCAGTGCGCATCCACGAACTCACATGCTGGACTCAAACCCGGGACCTTTAGATGCCGGCTTAGTGGTCTAGAATGTAAGCGTTCACGCGATAGACCGAAGGTTCTGAGTTTAAGTTCCACATGCGGAATTGTAAATGTGCACTGCTGAGGAGTTCCATAATAGAACGAGACGGCCGCCCAGTGCTTCCAGGTTTTCAACGGTGGTCTACTTTAGATCGACTCATGAATTTAACTATTTAAAATTAATTTGTAGTTGTTTTCTATCACAAACATCAAATGAATATTTCTTTACAAATAAAACAGTTGGTAATGTTATTTCTTTAGAACTTTGAACCATTTGAAAATTGTTAGGTATCCAGAGGAATATGCCAATAATTATCGTGTTAAGTCGAATAGTGTCCTTGAACGTTAAATGGACATTTCTCATTGGTCGATGTTTGTTTCACTTGTTAAATATCGTGTAAATAATGTCTGAAATACAATGATTCATAACTCAGAGGCTGTGACTTGTGTTCTAGACTCAACTGGCTGGGCTAGACAGGGAAGCGAGATCAATCAGGGCACTAGGTCGTTCACTACGTGTTTTACGTGTCACTGTAATCGATCGACAAATATACGCTGCTTATCAAAACCTGCAGTCCCACACGTTACAACAAAAATCAACCCTAATTTCAACGCTTAACAGTTAAATGTGATTGTTCGTCACCATTATTGATAATGACGATAATTAATCTGGAAGTACTTAGTAATGATTATTTGAAATACGTCCCAAACTACAACAAAAGTGATGTCATACCATAACACATTTTTATCTTAAAACTATCTGATAAAATCTTGTTGAGTTATACAGTATGGTAGCCATATTAAATTCATCCTAAAGATAATATAGTTTTCATATAGTGGATTAAAAATAAGAGTTCTGGTAAATGTGGAGATAGTTGATTAGAAATAGTTGTAACATAGAAAAGAAAGAGTAACACGAAAAATGTCTTTAGAGTTATTATTCATAGGTAGATTAAAGCTGATTATCCTAAATAAATCAGGAATGAAAGAGTACACTTCATGATAAAAAATTTACGAATCTCTCTTTTTCATTCTGATCAAACAGAAAAAAGAAACTAGACAGAATGAAGAACATGTTACGCAAGAAATTGGAGGCAGACATCAAAGGAATGAATATCATAACATGGATTGGTTGACGTTAGACATTAACACTGTTGAATATCGGTCTAGAGGTTAAACGTTCGCGCAGTAGACCGATGATCCTGGGTTCAAGTTCCGCATGAGGGATCGTGGATGCGCACTGCTAAGGAGTCCCCTACTGGGACGAAACGATCATCCAGCGCTTCTAGATTTTCAAAGGTGGTATAGCTTAGATAAACGCATAAATTCAACAATTGAATGAATATCACTTGAAAAAAACTGGAAAATAAAGCCCAGGACAGTGTTGGTTGGAGCGCCGTAATTTACTTGGGGTAAAATGAGTATGTAAGTAAGTAAGTAGGTAGGTAGATAAGAGAAAGAAATTGACATAATTACATGCAAATTAGTATACTTCATTTCTTTTTAACTGGATCAATAATATTAACCAAACAAACTAATTGGAATATACATTTTATTCATTTACCTTAGGTCAAATTGAACAATTTATAACATACGTATTTTCTTTTAAGTAGCTAATGCTATTTATTATAATCACTTTTTGTTTGTTTGTTTTTTATGATTCTAAAATAAATAATACTAACTTGTAACAATAACTCTTTTTAAGTTTCTTCTTTACGTAAAATAGTGAAATGAAATCATCCAACCATTCAGTATTCCTGAACTAGTTAATTTTCAAATAATTACGAATAACCTAGAATATATATATATATTATGCAGTGTTCTAGGGCGTTGTCACGGTAACTAGTGTTTCCAGACGACTTTTTTTTAAAAACGAAAAGGCAAAAATGATCAAATAATTTCAACAGAAGTAAAAGTAATAGAAACCTTAACATTAATCTAAATAACTGACTGATTAAAAATATTAAAAGACTGAGAAATAGACAAGAATATAATGAATTATTAGTAGATTATCACGATCACATGAATTTTATTATTATTACTTTTTCTAAAATAACAATATTAGAACAAACATAATTTTCAGAGAACAATATAAGTAATATTAAGAGAAATGCTTTATTGCCCGCAACTCCGACTGTAGCACTTCTAGAGTTATTGCCGGTCCCAAACCCGGGTAAAGGAGGAGGCTTGGGCATGCGGTTAGCGTCCCCATCCCGTAGAAAACTAACTCGCTAAAAAGCGCTAACCAGAAAAAATTATTCAAACCATTTAAACTCTGTCCTGGGAGTTAGAAAGTCTTCATTTAGAAGAATTATGACGCCCCTTCTAACAACCAGAGCAAAATTTTTCATAGGTACATGGAACGTCCGAACAATGTGGGAGACCGGGAAGACCAGTCACATAGCAACGGAAATGAGGAGATACAACTTGACGGTACTGGGAATCGGCGAAACTCATTGGACCCAATCTGGAAAACAAAGGCTAAATACGGGAGAGATGCTGCTATACTCCGGTCACGAAGAGGAAAATGCTCCACACACTCAGGGAGTCGCCCTAATGCTGTCCAAAGTAGCACGAAATGCACTTGTAGAATGGGAATCTCACCGATCCACAATCATCAAAGCATCATTCAAAACAAAGAAGGAGGGGATCTTAATGAATATTATCCAATGTTATGCACCCAACAATGATAGCGGCGAAGGCATTGAAGATCAATTCTATGAAAGGCTGCAATCAATCATAGAGAAGTTCCCAAGAAAGGACTTCACCATCCTGATGGGAGATCTAAATGCCAAAGTCGGAATAGACAACACCGGATATGAAGATAACATGGGACGACATAAACTGGGAGAAAGAAACGGAAATGGAGAAAGATTCGCAAATCTGTGTGCATTCAACAAAGGTTCGATACTGCCTTCCTTCGACATACTGACAAACTCAATGAATTCAAGATAGCTCTCAACAACGGGTTCCAAGTCTTACAGGATCTACTGAAGGAACAAGAAACTTCTATGAAGGACAACTGGAAAAATATCAAAGGAGCAATAACTTCAACGTGTCAAGAGGTTCTGGGTCACAATAAGCATCATCATAAGGAATGGATCGCTATAGAAACACTGGACAGGATCAAAGAAAGCAAGAACAAGACGACAGCAATTAACAACAGTGGAACAAGAACAGAGAAAGTCGAGACACAGGCTGAATACACCGAAGCAAACAGGCAAGGGAAGAAAAGCATTGAAGCCAACAAGTAGAAATACGTAGAAGAACTAGCAAAGACGGCGGAAAAAGCTGTTAGAGAAGGTAATATGAAACGGCTTTACGATACAAAGAAGAAACTAGCAGGGAAATACAGTAAACCAGAGAGACCGGTCAAAGACAAAGAAGGCAGGCCAATCACTGAAATTCAACAACAGCAGAACAGATGAGTAGAATACTTTGAGGAACTCCTGAATAGGCCGGCTCCAATGGATCCACCGGACATCGAAGCCGCACACACACATCTTCCTATAGATGTCAATCCACCAACGACGGAAGAAATCAGAATGGCCATCAGACAAATCAAGAGCGGGACCCGACAATATACCAGCTAAAGAACCGAATTCAGACATCGAAGTAACTACAAACATGCTTCCCTTTTTATTGAAGAAGATTTGGTGGGAGGAACAAGTGCCGATGGACTGGAAAGAAGGACACCTCATCAAGATTCCAAAGAAGGGAGATCTGAGTAAATGTGAAAACTAAAGAGGAATTACACTACTGTCAGTACCAGGGAGGGTCTTTAACAGAGTGTTGCTGAACCGGATGAAAGACACAGTAGACGCTCAACTTCAAGATCAGCGGGCTAGATTCCGTAAGGATCGGTTGTGTACAGACCAAATTGCGACACTACGGATCATCGTCGAACAATCAGTTGAGTGAAACCCATCACTATACATCAACTTCATTGATTATGAAAAGGCATTCGACAGTGTAGATAGGAGGACGTTATGGAAACTTCTTCGACACTACAGAGTTTCATGAGAAGATGTAGAATCCTTCACATACCTGGGAAGCATCATCGATGGACGAGGAGGCTCAGATGCAGGCGAAAAGACAAAGATTGGCAAAGCAAGTGTCGCATTCCTACAGTTGAAGAACATATGGAACTCAAAACAACTTTCAACCAATATCAAAGTGAGAATCTTCAATACGAACGCCAAGACAGTCAGTTCTACTGCACGGAGCTGAAACTTGAAGAACTACTACAACCAGCATCAAGAAAGTACAAGTATTTATAAATAGCTGTCTATGCAAGATACTGAACATCCATTAGCCGGATACCATCAACAACAGCCTTCTGTGGGAGAGAACAAACCAGCTTCCAGCTGAAGGAGAAATTAGTAAAAGACGACGGAAATGGATAGGACAGACATTACGCACATCATCAAACTGCATCACGAGGCAAGTCCTAACTTGGAATCCTGAAGAGAAGCGGAAAAGAGGAACACCAAAGAACACATTACGTCGGGAAATCGAAGCAGATATGAAAAGTATGAATAATGACTGAAAGGAGCTGGGAAAAATTTCCCAGGACAGGGTTGAATGGAGAATGCTGCTGAGCGGCCTATGTTCCTTTACGAGAAGTAACAGGCGTTTATCCCCCCCCCCTTTGAATGATGACAAGCGTAAATAATCAAGATTTTACTTTTTTTTAAATTTTTTTTTTATAATTTCATTGAAAATTTATTTAGACCGGAAAACTTTATGTTTTAATTCAATAACTGTTTTTGGTTAATTATTCGGTTTTGTAAAGTATTAATTTTTACATAATCATTTATAAATGCTAAAAATTCATTTATGGTTCATTGATGCACTACACGTTTATTTTTGGTTTTTTTCCTTCTGACAAATATTAGAGTGGTAAAGTATAAATCAACAGTAAAAACCATTTAAATATATATACTATAGAAGAAAATATATTAGAGCTAAAACTTTTCTCTCTCTCTTAAACAGTATGTAAATCAGTAGTTTTTGTTTTTACGCTTCACATAAAATAAAATTTCCTATTCACGTAATTACAATCTAATCGTTTTATACAAAATTAGATGTAAATAGTAGGTTTAATAAGTAGTTGTAAATAATCAGTATTGAATTAACATAAGAATTTAGTAATATTTGTTACAGATATGTTGTGGTATAGGTTAATTATATCCACATAAGTAGTATATAGCGTTGGACAGGCATAGAATGTATTTCAGTAGATCGATAAGGAAAGGCGTGAATGGAACGCAATTGGTATGAAAATGTATGAACAATGAAATCTGAGACAATGGATTGATAGTCGCAAAAGGAACAGTCAAGTTTGAGACGATGGATTGATATTTTACAAATTAACTATTTACTATATGCTTCTCAGATTTTAGTGAGATGCTCTGTAATTTCGTGTCAAACACATTCGATTGTCCCCACTGATGTTATTGTTCACTACAATATCTCTTAATAGAATATTGACAATTTGTTTTAATGAACATATATAACTAAACCAACCTTGGTTTGTAATCAATAGCAATGTAGATTAGAGCTATTTATTTTAACAGAATATTCAAGATATTTCTTAGTGTAACCGTTTCTATTTCAAGTATTTTTCTTCTACTCAGACAGAAGTACAATTCTAGACTAGAATGACCAGTACGAACTCCATTGTCACGTTATTCAATATTTACGGATATCACAAGACTGAAGCTGATCAAAATTATGATAAACTGATGAAGTGCATTAGAATTTTTGACGAGACTAATTTATGGACTGCCTCTGAACGAATCTCACGTGACCTTGATAAATATTAGCCAATCAGAAAACAGTCAGTATAGAGTAAAAATATATTATACATAACCAAAGAATTAAAGTGGAATCACTTCTTTTACCTGGTTCAAAACTTGTCAAGGTTAGAGAGAGGTTCAGAGGTTTGAAAAACTTCATGAATACAGTAGAGGAAGTCATCCATATGGCTCCGTAATAGTCGGTCTATGGAGCCATGATAAAGTCGCAAAACCTCTTTCAGCCTCGACCACAAAGCATCTTTATTTTTTGTGTGTACTCCGGTTGTTGGGTCCATAAAATGCCACTTGTGAATAACGACACGATGCATATCAACAAGTTCATGTAGCCATCTGTACGCTCTTCAATCATCCGTATATATTATAGTACCCGGTAGCAGCCAATGTCTTCGGTGCTTTTACTATCCAGTTCGCAAGAACTATCATAATTTACCTTAGTCCCAATCTGGATAGGGCGGAAAAATCCTATTTTAGCAAAAATCTTCCTCCAACACATATTACATCGAAAGACAACATCATCACACAAGGTCCACAAGTTATTTTATTACCACAATAACAAATAAAGGAACTTCTTAAAATCCTATTTATTGTAGTCGGTTAATTATCACGTTTTCTCTAAAATCCCCTATGAACCGATAGTACGTGAGTATCAGGTACTGAAATTGGCGCCATGACTTTGGATTCCCTGCAACGCTTCTGACTGGCTCGTCCATAAATTATAATCTCGCCGAATTTTCTTCAACCGAAACATTTAAGAACATAATCTTTGAAATGTTTTTAAATCTTAGCTATCTTAAGCCTTTGTGATAAGATTTAGTCACTATCAGGATCCTAACAGTGTACACAAAAGGGAAATCAATATTGTACAGGAACTTTTCTTGCCTTCAGCATAATAATATTTATGGCTCAAGCATACTCATATTAATGTATGTATATCAAAG